GGAGAGGAGCTCTCTATTTATAGTGGGATGAATTGAGATAATGATTATTGAATCTGGGAGTGGGTCAGGTTGCCGTGCAGATCCTTCTTTACGTCCCGTTGCTCACCTACTCGAGTGATTTACGTGACGTGTGCAGGGATTAGACACATGGAGCTCCTCCAGCCTCTGGTCATTCTGACGTGCACCCACTGTACTGGTAGGAGCATGTTGCTCACGCCAGCACGCGACGTGGCTACGTCTGACTGGCTGCAGGTCCTACCCAAACTCTGATCAATTTATGCTGACAGGGCACTGCGTCAGCCCTACTTTTCCAAGCATAACCCTAACTAAATTCTAGTAGTAGGATGAAGCTAGGATTTAATATTAAAGGGGGCAAGTTCAAAATAAAACGATATAAAATTTATAATAAAAATACTGTTACAGGGGTCAAGGAGTATTCAAATTGCCTTTTTTAGAGTTTACTCTCTACTTCTAGATGGATGAGGTCAATTTGCAAAGTAAATATACCAAAAAATTTTGAAAAATAAAAATACCAAGGAAAATTTATTAGAAAAAAATTGACTGAGGTTACCAGACCCTCCATTTGAACCCATTCTTGGGTTTGTCTAGGAGACTAACAAGTGGCAATTAACTGTTAGCTGTATCGAAAGTTAATGAGCCGTTCCTAACTTTTATTGTCTGTAATTTATGTTTGGATTTTATATTTGCATCCGAAAATTGACATAGATAGACAACTATAACTTTCTTTCAAATGCACGCATACTCATAAGAATATATTTTTGTCTGTATGTACATGTTATTTATCTCAATTAAAAGTATGCAAAATGAGTTGGAGATTAGACTAGTTTGCGTGAGTTGCTGGTTTTTAAATAGATGATAAATTCAATCCAGGCAACTACTTAGTTGTCATTAGCTTAATTAGCAATTAATCTACCATAACCGGCAGCTCGAACGCTACAACCGGCAGCTCGAACGCTACACTTTGTCAATTATTTTTACAAATTATTGACACATCAAATCAACATAGTGTATTTAAACACTTAATCTCCTCTCTGTCTTCATATGGTTTGAACTCTTCTTAATTTCTATGCATATCCGCCCAAGTTTGATAATATTTCTAGACCTAGGTGGCACAACTTTGATTGGCCGTCTTATGGAGTTAGATTTTGGAGAATCTGTGAACAATGTGAGCATCAAAATAGGAGATATACTTTTAAATATATTCATTGTATGCCAATTAGAAACAGCATGTGGAAACTTAAAATGGGAGTTTCCTTTTGATCTTGGCAGGGATACGTGGAATATTACAACGGAGCAGAATATTTTTGATCGTATAGAAAGACTCAAAAGGCTGTAGTAAGGATAAGGCCATGCATGTGAAACGTGGAAGAATAAGGAAGAAAGATTGAGCAACAAGTATGGATCATGTTATATGATGAATGAATAAAACTGAGAACATGAAAATTATTAGTTGGTGTTCAGCATAAAGAACATGTTTAATTGATGCTGTATGTATTTTAAAGGTCAACATCTGTCTTTAAAAAATAAAATAAAATAGAAAGGACAAGAACATGTTTTTTTTTATTGTATCTATATAATCATTCTCTGGTGCGGATTTGTAGTTTAAAAATGTATGTATAGCTCAACTCAACATTCAACTACGATTTTTATACATATCTTTGTAGAATTCCAACAAGATTTTTGCGCATGGTTGCAATGAGTAATTTGACATCCAGATTTTTTTAAACCGGATCAAGTTAATTGGGGATGATTAGCGGTTAAAAAACTAAATTTTGAGAAAACTTCTATTTTTATTTTTTTTGGTTATCGAGAGTGTTTAGGTCAGTTTTCGCTTATTTTAACTAATCTTTCTAGACCCTGAAGTTGATTGTTTTGTATATTCTCTCATTGACCACCCCTATTAATAACCTAAGTGAATCAAACTTAAAACCTTTTGAGTAATACACCTAAAAGTCTTAATTGACCGTTGGACAACCTAACTATGGTTAAATTTTGAGAAAACTTTTCCATTTAGAAGATTGTAAAATTTTATATGTTAATAATTAGTTTAGAAAATCAGGGTGCAAGAATGTATACAATTATAATTTTAGAGAAGTGGTGCCTCATACACTAAACGAGGTCATTTATAATCATCTGCGAGCAGCAAATGAAGAAATTGTAATAAATGATAATCAGAGGATGTAATCAGTCTCACCCCCTCATAATTCTGTTGTATTAAAATAAGCGCAAGAAGAAAAAATATCATAATAAATCAAAGATAAAAATGAAGAAAAAAAGCAAAACAGATGGAGCTGAAAACAGAAGATCTAGAGAAGCAATATTGTTTTTTTTTTTCTTTTTTGTTAAACCTCGATGGTACGAGTATAATTTTATTACTTAAAAAAAAATAGGATGACCTTTAGCTAGGAAGACGTAATGAACCTTATCCTTCGAAGAAGACTGAATTAAAAAAAAAAAAAAAAAAAAGCATAAATTAGAAAGAATCACAATTAACGAAAAAAGAAATACAAAAACATTGACAGAAGGCATGGTATGACAAACCCCAAGCATCATCCTTTATAATTTTTTTTTGATGTTTTGGAACGGTATATATATAAGTCCTATCTGGTAAATGATGCCAATGGCGGCCTATATTAGTGGGCATATATGCAACCAGATTAACCTCATGACAAACATGATCACTGCAAAAGATCAAAGAGCGGAGAGAAGCTGTATTTTTGCAAGCCTCAAGCATGATCATAGATAGAAATCAAGATCTCTTGTGGAAGAGAATTCTACCATGGATATAATGATTAATGCTTGGTTTAACACTGATGAAAGTCATTGTCTTGTATTAATTTCGTTGACAAAAATTGGGCTCATATATTTTTGGGAAAAATAACGATCCTCTACATGAGCAGTTGTGCTAAAATTAACTTCAACTTTCTTCACTGGTGGACCATTTCTTCGCATTTAATAATAACTTGAACGGCAAGTGAGGGAGCTGGAAAGCTGTCCAAATTATCAGAAACACGACGCTCTTGTTGAAAGATATGTTATGCAACGGAAACATAAATTCTAATGCTAGTTATTTAAATATAATAATAACAACTACTAAAATAAAAATAAATAATCAAAATATATGCAAAAATAATTAATACTAGGAATTAACGAGGTTTAGTAAAATAAAACTTCACTATTTCTTTTGGCAATATTACAAATACCTAAACTATATAGGCATAAAAATAATTATTCAAAACAAAGAAGAATTACAACAAAACTTTTTTCACTATTTCTTTTGGCAGTATTACAAATACCCAAACTATATAGGCATAAAAATAATTACTCAAAACAAAGAAGAATTATAACAAAACTTTTCAACTAAATGATCTTTAATAAAAGAACCTTATATAAGAGAAATGTAATGGAAATACTCTCTGGAATGTATAAAACCATCATCCAGTTCTCATATATAGGCCTCAAAAGTTACCCTACTTTCATTTCTAACTAATGTATGACTTATTAACCTTGTCTTATTTTATATAAGTCCTTACACCTTTCTCCATTTTCATTCCTACTCGATATTGGATTTTGCTAATGACCCATTTTTCCAACAAGATAACAGAACTAAGGAAATCTCCAACCTTGCTTACAAGTTACAAAGTGTCCCCATCTATATTTCCATGTTTCTTTTACTTTTTCCTTTCGTTATCAAAAACGTTAATTCTAAGGAAATTTTATGCAACATTATTTTTCTCATGAATAAATTTCAAAACACATATCAGGACTTATTTGAATAGTAATATGATACTCAGATAAGTACCTCTGACTTTAATAACATGACAAGATTAGAAATACCCCACCTTAAGTAATTTAGCAACCTTCAATTACCCATGACTTTTAATAATATGAATAGTCATAATACGATTTATTAATATTACAGTTGCACACGTGATGCAGCAAATCGGTATGTTTCCACAAAATCAGTCCAATTGGATGAGTCTTGCTTCATTGCAACAAAATTATTTTTTGTTGCCATGTGTACAGATAAATATTCAGATTTCTGTAAATTGTAGCTGAAAAAGACTACACTGTATATGTGACTGTAAAATTTATACAAGAAGAGCTCAAACATTCAGGCATTTCGAAATGAAATACTCGAGAGATAATTATTGAAGTTTAGTGAAGCGTGAAGAGTGTAGATGAAAATGCTCGAGGCATTTAAATTACAAAAAGGGAAAGGAATATAAGAGACCTGGAAACTCGCATTTTATAACATTACTAAGAAACAGTATATTACACCGGACTAAATAATTCCCTTGTCTTTTTTAAATTATACAGTGCAAGATTTCAACAACATATAAAGTAATAAGTCCCAAGAATGGAATTTGAACTCTCTGACAAAGTAGCAGCTGATCGTAAGGTCGGGCTCCAAGCTAGTCACATGGGTGGAAAACACTCTAGGTTCAAGCGAAAGCCTTGCTGACACAGTAGGAAACGAAATGAATGTTGTCAGATATAGTTGAGAATACGAATTTGAGAGAAAAGTAAAGTTTGTTACTGTTGAATCTTTCAATTAATTAAAAATATACAGAGTTTACAAACTCATTTATATGTACAAACAATACACGTGAGTAGCAGTGAGTAGCACTTGCCATTTACAGCAGTACATGTGTAAGTAACAGAAATTACAAATTTGGCAGTTTATACACTAATCCTAACAGATATTAGGGGTAATGTTACCTTTCCAGTAACTTAATATTCCCCAAATTTATGTGTCTAACGAACTTGGCAAGATAACTAATAATTAATGTACACAATATACTAATATAGCTTGGTGTATGATGACTACCTGGTAAAGAACAAGAAGCTTAGTTGCATAATCATTGACAAACAATCTGCATGGTTGGTCTAGATTCCGGATTGGCTTCTAAGCAAGAAAAACCAACCTCCATCATTGATATGAGTTTGTCCTGGACATCATGTGAGGGAGTTGCAAGTCATGGATCTAACATATCAGTGAGAACTAAATTCACATTGGAAGACAATGATGGAAATAAGGATAAAAAATCTCCCGGATGATTCCCTCTAATTATTTCCAGCACTAACACTCCAAAGCTATAGACGTCACATTTTTCTGTAATAGTCATTGTGTAAGCAAGCTCTACAAATGAAAGATATATATGAGTATGTTGCATCCATATTGTGTAAATTAGTTGATAATAAAATATGAAATGAAAGAATTACATACCCGGTGCTACATATCCATATGTCCCTACAAGTTCAGACCAATTGGACGAGTCTTGCTTGATAAATTTTGCAGTTTCGAAGTCCAAAACATGAGCTTCATATTCCAAGTCCAACAATACACTTTTGCTTGATATGTCTCGGTGGACAATTGGTGGGGAGCAATCATTGTGCATGTAAGACAAAGCATTGGCTACACCTTTTATAATATTCATTTGATTCCTCCAACCCAATTCTTTGGCTTCTGCTTCAGTGCTTAGGATTGTGGCCAAGCTGCCCCTTTCAAGGCATTCATACACCAATAACGATTGTCGAGCATGTGAGCAAAACCCATAAAATTTCATAATATTTCGATGTCGTATATCTGTCAATGCCTTTATTTCGTTTGAGAACACTTTTTGATCTCCCATCTCTACAAGATGTGAGTGAAATTTCTTAATGTCCCCCGATGGTAGTTCTGCTCTATAAACAGTTCCAAATCCACCACTACCGATACAATAACTAGGATCAAAATCATTTGTAGCTCTTATAATTTCTTCGTACACAAGTTTTCCCTCAAAATTTAATACTGAAAGTAATCCATGGGTGTTCACACTACTTTGCTGCTTTTCTGACTCCATCTTTTGTGTTTGCTTAATGAAATACAAACCAATTATGACAACNTAACGAACTTGGCAAGATAACTAATAATTAATGTACACAATATACTAATATAGCTTGGTGTATGATGACTACCTGGTAAAGAACAAGAAGCTTAGTTGCATAATCATTGACAAACAATCTGCATGGTTGGTCTAGATTCCGGATTGGCTTCTAAGCAAGAAAAACCAACCTCCATCATTGATATGAGTTTGTCCTGGACATCATGTGAGGGAGTTGCAAGTCTTGGATCTAACATATCAGTGAGAACTAAATTCACATTGGAAGACAATGATGGAAATAAGGATAAAAAATCTCCCGGATGATTCCCTCTAATTATTTCCAGCACTAACACTCCAAAGCTATAGACGTCACATTTTTCTGTAATAGTCATTGTGTAAGCAAGCTCTACAAATGAAAGATATATATGAGTATGTTGCATCCATATTGTGTAAATTAGTTGATAATAAAATATGAAATGAAAGAATTACATACCCGGTGCTACATATCCATATGTCCCTACAAGTTCAGACCAATTGGACGAGTCTTGCTTGATAAATTTTGCAGTTTCGAAGTCCAAAACATGAGCTTCATATTCCAAGTCCAACAATACACTTTTGCTTGATATGTCTCGGTGGACAATTGGTGGGGAGCAATCATTGTGCATGTAAGACAAAGCATTGGCTACACCTTTTATAATATTCATTTGATTCCTCCAACCCAATTCTTTGGCTTCTGCTTCAGTGCTTAGGATTGTGGCCAAGCTGCCCCTTTCAAGGCATTCATACACCAATAACGATTGTCGAGCATGTGAGCAAAACCCATAAAATTTCATAATATTTCGATGTCGTATATCTGTCAATGCCTTTATTTCGTTTGAGAACACTTTTTGATCTCCCATCTCTACAAGATGTGAGTGAAATTTCTTAATGTCCCCCGATGGTAGTTCTGCTCTATAAACAGTTCCAAATCCACCACTACCGATACAATAACTAGGATCAAAATCATTTGTAGCTCTTATAATTTCTTCGTACACAAGTTTTCCCTCAAAATTTAATACTGAAAGTAATCCATGGGTGTTCACACTACTTTGCTGCTTTTCTGACTCCATCTTTTGTGTTTGCTTAATGAAATACAAACCAATTATGACAACTGAAAGTACGAGTCCTCCTAAAAGAGGGAACACAATAGCAAAGATTTTTCCTGATGTATGTTTGTGTGACTTGAAAGCTTCACAAGATGTTAGACCCGTAACATCACCGCATAATTCGTTCCCTTGCAATGCTTCGATAGGAGCATTTTTAAATGCTTTGCTGTTAGGAACCGGACCTCGCAACTCATTGTAGGATAAGTCAATGCTTGACAAACCCTTCATTTCTTCAAAACAAATTGGAATTACACCAGAAAGCCTATTGTGGGAAAGATTTAGCTTCTCCAAGCTATGCAAATTACAGATTGCAGACGGTATCTCCCCTTTAAGCAAGTTTTTACTCAAATCTAGCTCTGACAGTAGACCTAACTTCCCGAACTCAACTGGAATTTCTTGGCTAAGTTGGTTGTTACCCAGATTCAAGTAGTACAACTTCAACAAGTAGCCAAGGCTTTTTGGGATTGACTTATTCAATCTATTTGCAGACAAGTCAAGATAGTCAAGTTCGGTGAGTAAACCAAATTCTAGAGTTATACCACTAGAAAGTTGATTCCTATTCAGAATCAACTTGATAAGAGAACTCAAGTTTCCTAGTTCCCTTGGAATCTCCCCAACTAAATGATTTGAAGAAAGATCAAGTTCTTGTAACTCAGTTGAGTTTCCAATCTCTAAGGGTATGCTCCCAGTTATATTATTCCCGCTAACATTTAAATATCCTAATATTGGAAACTTTTTCCTGTTCACAAAGATTTCCCCATAAAATTCATTTTGGCTTACATCTAAATAAGTCAGGTTGGGGTAGATCCCAAAATCTTTTGAAAAATTCCCACACAATTGGTTGTGTTCTATGCGGACCCTGACTAGACTTTTGCAGTTCCTAAAGCTTTTTGGGATTTGACCAAGAAAATGATTGTCGAATGTAGTTAATTCTTTAAGTGATCCACTTTGACAAATATTATATGGCAAATAACCGGTGAGGTTGTTTGTGCCCAATTCAAGATCAATCAACCATAAATTTCCGATTTCTTGAGGAAAAGACCCAGAAAGATGGTTATCATAAAGGTACAAATATTCCAAGTTGCTCAGATTTCCAAATGATTGAGGAACAGAACCACTAAGTTGATTTTCGGCCAATCCTAAATAGAAGAGAGATTTCAAGTTTCCTATCTCCTCAAGAATGAAACCAAAAAGCCCACATTTGTGTAGGTACAAATCTTCTAAATTGCTCAGATTACCAAAGGAGAGAGGAATATATAACATCACTTAATTGATTTTTACTCAATGCTAGACTGGAAAGGTCGTTCAAGTCTCCTATCACCTTAGGAATAGAGCCAGAAAGACGGTTGTTGTTTATGTATAGAACTTGTATGTTGCTAAGATTACCAAAGGAGAGAGGAATAGAATCATTGAATTGATTTACGCTGAAATCTAGATTGACCAGATGATTCAAGTTTCCTATGTCCTTAGGAATGGAGCCGGAAAGAAGGTTATCGTATAGAATTAAACTATGTAAGTTGCTCAGATTGCCAAAGGAGGGAGGAATAGAATCTTGAAATTGATTTTCATACAATACTAGTTCAAAGAGATATTTCAAACTGCCTATCTCTTCAGGAATGGAGCCAGAAAGACTGTTGTTGAATAGGTATAAAATTTGTACGTTACTAAGATTACCAATGGATGGAGGAAAAAAACCTTCTAGTAGATTATTACTAGAGGATAAATAAGAGAGATTTTTCAAATTACCTATCTCCTTAGGAATGGTAGAAGAAAGAGAATTATTATCAAGATACAATTTCGCCAAGTTGCTCAAATTACCCAAAGATATTGGAATTGAACCGTCCAGATGGTTTTGGTCCAAGGCAAGCTCATTAAGAGAATGTAACTGACCTACATCTTTGGGAATTGGGACACTTAACTGATTCTCAGAAATGTAAAGGAAATTGAGATGAGGTAGGAGGCTAATTTCTAGTGGTATCTTACCAGATAACTGATTAATTGACAAATCAAGGTACTTGAGCTTTGAAAGGTTACTGATTTGAGGCGGGATGATACTGAAGATCTCATTGTTTCTAAGATCAAGGTATGCAAGGTGGGGAAACACTGAGAATGAGAAATTCTGAAGCGTACCTTTCAAACTTGTACCGGTGAGGTTAATACTATTAACACTTCCAGCATGGTTACAATGAATTCCAAACCAAGAACATGGGCTTATGTAGGTTTTCTGGTTGCTGGAAATATTGGTGGGATTAACATGATAAAGAGTCCAAGAAGAAAGGGAAGAATGGTTGTGATTTTGAATACTGGTTTTCCATTTGAGAAGAGCAAACGTTTCTTCAGTAGAATTGAATGCTGCAGTAAGTGATGACGAATTTAAAACAACAAAGAGGTGGATCAAGGAAAAAAGTGAGAAGGCTAAATTAAATTTGAGGGTTGAGGACTCCATTGTTTGTGTTATAATTCATGATCCTGAATTCCTGATACATATATGTAATCAGGATCTTGCAACCTCTCAAGGTTGGCCATAATTTTAACTATTCTTCTTGGAAAAATTTACGGAAGAGGACAATTTTTTTTTTTTACTTGACTTAAAGTCAATTTAACACTGTAGTGAAGTTTTCTCTTTTTTTTTTTTTTTTAAGGATATCTATCCTCAACAAATCCTATTAGAAGTTAACAGTCGAATAAATTTCTTCAGCGATAACTCTTAGAGTTATTAAAGTTTAAAGAATTTAAACTTAAAAACCTATGTTAGACCTCTTCATTCTTTCACCATCACGCACATAGTAGTGGTTACCCTCTAGGAAGCTAATTGTCTATATTCCATTGTAAAAATATAGATATTACATGATAATTAAGATTATTATGCCATTATTTCTAAGTGGTCCCTCATTAATCATTATTACATTTAATTTCTAGCTTTTTTGACTTTTAATTAATGAACTGTCCATCACTTTTTACCGTTTGTCAAAAAGCTTATTAGAATTACTGTATGCTCTTTGTTATTCAATGTAAATAGGGGAGTACTCGGCACAGCTCTCTTAGTAGTGATTAGAAAGATTATTATATCATATTAGTCATCTTAACTTGTCGTGTTCTTCAAACTTTTTCGCTTGCATTAAATTATTACAGTCCTACATTATTAAGCTAGCAAAGTAACTAATTATAATGTTTTTTGAAGCTTGAAAATTACTTATAACCAGTTTAATTCCTCTACCAAAATTAAGCATGGAAACGTACTATAATTATTATTTCAAAAATAATAATCTGTGGCCAAATTCATTCACTAATTAAAGTCAAGATTAGGTGTTGTCTACGGAAAACAGCATGTCTCTTTAATTGCTAAGAAATGTCCTTGCAACTCATCAGTAATTTCAGCGAAATTATCGGCTTAATTAACTTTACCAAGACTTGCATATATATGGTCCTCTATCAATGAGGATACAGTCCTCTCCTAATTAATTAGGGTTTAACTTATGAAGACTATTAAGGCAACCAATAACATGATATCTTTCTAAGAAAAGTCGTTGCTACGTACCAATAAATTCACAGTAGGGACTTGTATATATCAACAATTTGATTTTATGCATCTACGGAAGAGTTTCACAAATCAATCAGCAACTAAAAACTTCGGAATTTTCCCTTTTTAATACATAGAACTTTGGAATATGTTGAGAGATAAGGCTATGGACCTCAACAAAATGAAATCTTCCATGGCCAATAGAAGACTTGCGGAGATTCGGGGATTACCTATGACTATCTTCAAAACTAGCTTGCGATGAACATGGGTTTTCCTAATCCAATATTTGTCCTGAGGTAGGAATGATGTTGTGTATTGTTGTTTTTAATCTTGTTTAGGTTTTTTTGAATCCTATCCTAGGGCATGTCCTGTGGTAGGATATCTTTGTCTTTGTGTTCCTTTGCTTGCTCCTCTTCTCTTTTCTTCTATCATTCGGGTGCTTAAGATAGACAAACAAGAGGAGATTAGATTCTCAGTCTATTAAGTTTGTATTTTTGATTTTTTTCTAAGGTTTGTCCTGAGGTAGGATTGCCGGTTCGGCTTTTTTTTTTTTTTTTAATGATCTCTTTATACATTCTTTCTTAATGATACTACTCACTTACCCAAAAAACGAACTTTGGAATTTTCATTCAAGGCGAACAATTACTTAGTCATCTGGTTCCCAGAAATTAAACCCACCTTAATTAATTTAGCAACCTTCAAGTGCCCATAATTTTGTATATACTTCCTTAAAAAAAAAAAAAAAAAAAAAAATATTATGGAAAAGGACTAAATTAGGTATGAAAGTCGTTGCCTTGTATTAACATATTGCATTGCAAAAATATGTGCTCACATTTCTTAAGAAAATTAATTATCCTGTACATGAGCCGTTGTGCTTAAATTAACTTGAACTCCCAATATGCAACGGAATTACTTTTCTACAAGAATCGGGTAGAAAATTTGTTGACTTTAATTAATTTTCCGAGTCAATCCTTGTCATGCCGATGTTTACGCTTGAAAAAGGAAATGTTCAAATGTGAATTGGACAGCGTCAGAATTCCAATTCTTCTACAATGAATTCCATACCAAGAACGTGGACTTGTTTTGATTTTCTGATTGTAATTTTGAAGACTGGTTTTCCATTTGAGAAGAGCAAGTTCTTCTTCAGTAGAATTGTGTACAGCAGTAAGTGAAAAGTTTAACACAAAAAAGAGATGGATCTGGGAAAAAAGTGAGAATGCTGTATTGAATTTGAAGGCTGATGACTCCATTGTTCGTGTTACAATTAAAATAAATTTTATAAAATCAGGGCTTACGATGTGTCTGTATCAATATGTCTGTTTTTCTTTTATTTTCATTTGACTCTTTGTGGTCAAAATTGTCAATTTCTACAAAGAAATTTCTGCATATTTCTTTTTCTCATGACAAAAAAAATCAAAACGCATGTCATGACTTATTTGAACAAGATTCAAGTAACATAGCAAGAGGACAATTTTCCTTGACTTAAAGGGCAGTTTATCAGGCATAAAAAAAGTCATGGCTCACGTACTGAAAGTTGGACCAGTTTATTGACATTTAGTCTGTGATAGAACTCCAGCTAGGCCATGAAAGGTCTACAACGGATTTACTTTCTCAGTAAATACCGTTCAGTGAGTTGCCCAAGTTCAAGAGATTACCACCACAAAGGTTATTGCCAAAAACACTACTCGGTATTGCTGTAATTCAGAACTGTAAAATTAGAATCTCTTCTAAGGCATATAATAAGAGAAATTACACTAGAGCTCAACTGACACTAACAAGCTAAATAACTAAACTATTACAGAAAATGCTCATCAAAGTACTAACTCTTTTCACTCTTATCACGGTAGCTAACTTACATGGATTTATTTTGAAACTCTGTAGCAGGACATACATTTCTCCTAAAATAGGAGACACAATAGCCCAGATTTTTCCTGATCCATGTTTGTGTGTGTTAAAAGCATGCAAGATGGTAGTCCGGTACCATCACTACACAAGCCTTCATTCCCCTGCAATGCGTCAACGGGAACATTTTTATATGCTTTTCTGTTAGGAATTGGACCCTACAACTTATTATGAGATGAGTAGCTCTATACTTACAACTTTTTTATACAATTTTTTCATACAATCCTGATGTGGCAACTCGCGATTGGTCAGCTTATAATGAGTCTCGTCTACTCAAATGCAAAATGACTAATTACAAGCCACCACCTCATGGTTATATGAAAAAGTTGTAAGTATAATTTTATTGTTATGAGATATGTCAATGCTTGACAAACCATTTATTCTTTCAAAACAGCTTGGAATTAATCCAGAAAGCTTATTGTGCGAAAGATTAAGCTTTTCCAAGCTATCCAAATTGCAGATTTGAGACAGGATGTCTCTTTTGAGAAAGTTTTGACTCAAATCGAGTTTTGATTTCTTGCGGTCTTAGCAAGAAATTGAAACATCTAAATGAATTATTCTCAAAGAATTTCTACCATTTTGATAGAAATTACTTATTGTTTACAAGAAATTGAAAGCTTAGACATATTCTCTGTTATTAGAAAAATAAATAGCTTGTAGATACCGAAATTGGAGAAAATTTATGGATTTGTGCATAATATTTATTTTGGTTGATGTACTTGACAAGTAATATAAGTGTTACTCTCACGTTAGTTAATATATTTGATGTACGGTGGCACTGCGTTTGTGTTAGTTCATATAATAATATATTAATTGGCTTGTTCTCGTAGTCCCGTACCTA